CTTGTGTTGATACAAGAAATGTGATGTGATTGTATAGTCCTAATAATTCATTTAACATGTGTTCAATGTTTTGGACACCTTGAACTCGTTGTTCTAAATGTTCATTAGTAAGAAGAACTGATGTTGATTGTGGAATATCAACTTCAGTACTATCAGGTGGAATTGAATCATCTTCATTAAATGAGAATTGATTTAAATTTCTTTGATAAATTTGGTTAGGAGTAGATGATTGTTGTGTTGAATATTTGTGTTTTTTCTTTTCTTGTTCTTTAATACTTTCTGCTCTAATTTGTAAAACATCAGTGAATGACTTTGTTGTGTTTTTAACAAGATAATTAAGATGTTTGCATACAATTTCTCGATGATTTTCATTTTGTCCTGTAATTCCATATTTCTTTTCAATTTCTTTCCGAATTTCTTCTATTTGTTTCATTTCTTTATTAATTTCTTGTAAATTTGTATGAATCTCATTTGTTAATCGTTGGATTTGAGGTGCTGTTTGTTGTTCTTCAAATAATGATTTTGATTTTGCAACTAAACTTTTATTAATCTTTTGTTGTTCATTCTTTCTTCAATCAAACAAACGTTCTGTTAATTTGGCTAATTTCCCTGAAATTTTGTTGATGTTTTTGAAAAGTTCTGTTGTATTTTTGTTGAAGACTTTGATGTCATTTAACATTTCTTGTTTGTTCTGAGGAATTGAAAGGGGTTCTTGTGTTTCTTCTGCACCTTTCATTCTAATATACTTCTTAAATTCACTTGTACGGTCAAATGTCATTTGTTTTCTTCAAGATTTTTTGTTTTTATGTTTTGTAAAAAGATGTAAAAATAAAACAAAATAAAGAAATTCTTTCAATACTCATCTGTTTCATGTTTGTACTGATTAAAAAGATATTTAAACTCATTCCATTTTGTTTTTGTTTATTTCCTATTATGTTTAATTAGTATTCATAAAGATTGATTGTCATTGTTGTTATTTAGAAAGTTTGTAGACTAAATAGCAAATAAGAACAAGAAGCTTAAATCATACTATTGTATAACTAATATTCATGCAATCACTTATGAATTGATAGAATAAAGTTATTATGATTCAAATAATAAAACTAACTAGAACATAACCATGATGAATTGGCATTAACACATATCCATTATCAATATGAATGTGGAAAATAAACTAATCAACAAAAAATACTATTGAATTATGTAGTGTTGATTTTGTGAATGAAATAATAATAAAACTGATAGTAAGAACAATAAGAACAAAAATAATAAAGAAATAGATTAAAAATGCAAAAAGATAATGAAAATCTAAGTTAAATATAATTTAAAGTTGATAATTGGTTTTTGTTTATATTTAATAAAATTTCTCAAGTTGTATTTTCAAAGAACAATGACGGTAATGTACAGCATTGTTAATGTATTATTTTATTTTAAATAATTTAAGTGATTTACTATCATTTGTTTTGACAATGTATTAATATAGTGTTAGTGGTGATTCATAACTTATTTTGTATTAATATCTTCGAAGAACATGACAAATAAATACTCAACTAAGTAATAGTAATTTGTTTGAATGATAGTTTCATATAAAACTGTATATTTGTTTTATTCATTCAATTGATACACAAATTCAAGACGATACTATTATTTCTATTGAATAAGAAATAAGATGATAATGTTATTACTATGTATATTGTGTATTTTTATATATGCTATAATTCTAATACATTTATAGTTATTTTACATTATTAATAACTTCTTTCATTAATTATGTATAGAGTATTAACTATTATTTCTAATTTGTTCATCACACAATCTATAACAACAATTTCATTTAGTCATTTGTCAGTTTTTAAATAGAAATATTGTTTACTATTACTATTTGTATTTAAAATTGTTATATAAAAGTGTTTTTATACTCAATTATCATGTCTATGAAATTAATTTCATTATGTAACTTAATTAATTTTTAATATAAAAGTTGATTATTTATTTTGTCTTGTTGTTTAGTATTTGTTCTTCATTTCATTCAATAAGTAACTCAGATATTCTTATTAAAACACAATGCAATGATTAATTTATATAACAAAATCATATTATGATATGAATTTCCTGTCTTAAGTAAACAAAGTGTGTTATTTGTTATCTTGTGAACATCTTATTTTAATAATCTATAGTTTATTTAATAGAAGAAGTTGTTATGAGGATAAGTAATGATAAGTTAATTAATGCATGTTATAATGAAATTCAATTAGTTAGTGTTTAAATACTATCATGCTCTTAGCTATTTGCTCATGATATTCTATTTATTCCATATTGAATTTTGTTAATAAATAACTCAAGAATAAGAAGAGATGCAAACATTGTGACAGTGTTTTTCTAATCAAATTTGAATCAAATTTGATACAAATTTATTACTATGTATATTTTTGTCGATTCTAACAAAATAGCACTGATAAATTATATCAACTATGGTTTTTGTATTTACTGTTCTTTTGTTTGTGATAGGATTTAAGATGTTAATGAAAGACAAATAGGAGGAGAGTGTATTAGTTGTAAATATAATGAAAGAATTGGTAAAGAATTGTCCAAATACTCTAATAAAATAATAATAATAATAATGAGGAAGCCTCAAATAAATATTCCCAAAGAAGAGTTAGAAACACATTAAATATTAAAGAAGATAAAGAATGAATATAGCAAATACCAATAAATACAAAATAGAATTATAAATGAATGAAATTACAAAAAGTTATAAAAATGGTTGTGAATTAGAATTAAGAATAATAAGATTTAAAGAATGGTTTGAAGGATTATTAACAAAAAAAAGGAAAGACAGATAAAACAAAAGTAAAACAATATTCAAATATAATTTTGATAACCTATTCTGGAAAATGTTGTTGGGTTATAAATTTCATCTTTCTTTCTTTTGATTACATTATTTGTATTTTCATTTGTTTCTGTTAAAATCCATTTAAAATCTTCAAAGTCATTAAATTCATAGAAAATTTGACTTTGATGATTTCCTATTTGTTCAATATCTTCTATTTCATTATGAATAGTATCATTTTCATATCTTGGTTCATGTTCAGATTGATCGCTAAATATATTTTGATATTGATTTTCTTCAGCTCTAGAAATTCTTGATATAATTTGATCCCAATATTCTCCATTGTCTAAACTAGGTTGTCCATCACTTTCAAAATAACTCTTTTTAGTAATAACAACACTTCCTAAATTTTCTTGAAATGGAATATTTTTTGTTTTACTTTCTTTTCCAAATTCAACACAAATTATACCTTTTGGATATGGAATTGGTTTATGATATTTCTCAATAGTCATGTCTTCATTAAAAAAGTCTCCTTCTTCTAAATCAACATCTTTTCTAGCACCTATTTCTTGTATTTTCTTTTTGTGTTTTATTTCATCTAAACTTACTATAATATCTCCCATATTTTTATTATCTTTTACTTCTCTTTTCCTTTCTTTCTTTTCAAAATCAACTATATCATCATCATCTGAATATACAAGTCTTTTTTTCCCTTTCTTTTTTTTCTTATCTTCTTCTTTAGGTGCTTTAAAAATACTTCCCTCGTCTACTGTTTCTATCTTTTTTTCTTTCTTTTCCTCTTTTTTCTTTCTCCTCTCTTCTTCCCTTTTCTTTTTTTCTTCTTCTTTCTTAAGTTCTTCTCCAATAATTGGATTTGTAAGTTGTTCAATAAAATATTCTTCTTCTTCTTTGACTTTCATTTTTTTCATTTCTCTTGCTACCTCTTTTAGTTTGTCTTTATTATCTTTCTTAAACTCTTGTCCAATTACTCTTACAATAGGTTCAATACTTTCTCCTTTTTCTGTTGCATCTTTCATCCATCCAACTAAAATTTTAATGACAGTACATTTGTTGTATAAACACATCTTTTTTTTCTTGAATGCTTCATTCCCTCTTAGGTTATTTATTACTCCTTCCCTCTCTTCTTTTTCTGTACATTCTTGAAGATATTCAATTAAGTAATTTTCTCCAATTTCTCCTTCATTAACAAGTTCAACTATTTTACCAACACCTTGACTTATCTCTTCCATTCTTTTCTTCTTTTTTTTTGTTTTTCTTTTTTATTTTTCCTGTTTGTAAATTCTCTTGTTTCTCTACTTCTTCTTACTCTCCTTTCTCTTTACTCCTTTACATCTTACAATACTCCCTCATTACATTGCTCTTATCTTAATTAACATGTCTACCTTTGAACAGTCCCATTGTCCTTCCATGAACAACAATGATTGTCTCAAGTTAATAACTGGAAACAACACTGAAAGACACTTAATTGAGACACTTAAAATGGGGGTTGAGAGAAATGACAATGGGAAATCAATCGTGCTTTTGTTATGAATGATGTTGTGAGTATTTGAAGTAGAGTGGAAGTCTAAAGATTGATTGGAGCGATGAAAAAAAAGGAGAAAAAAATATAAAAAGAAAGGATGGGTGGAGAGACAGATAGGACAAATGGAATAGTCAGACGCAACCCAAAGAATAAGACAATGTTATAAAAGAAAACACAAAAGAGAGGCAGACATAAAGATACAATACAAAGAAGAAGACAAAGACTCAAAACTATCAAACAACGAAAATGAATTAATAAATATGCAAATAACAATTATTAATTAAACACTAAATTATTAGTAATACAATGGAATATGAAATAATAACAATTTCAATGATTTTAATATATTTACAAAGATATTAAAGAATAAACATCGAATTAAATTTATATTAACATTCATAGTTTATTTCTAACATTCATAAGTTTTATTTGTTATTTCTGTGTTATTTATTTAATGTTTAATTTTATGTTTTACAAAAGAATATTTAATGATAGAAATTGTGATAGCTGAGAGTAAAAAGAATAAACAGAATGAGTCAATGATATAGAACTGATGTGTCATTAATAATAAAGAAAAATATAAAATGTTGAGAGAAAAATATAATGTTTATAATTTTATTCAACGTAATGACGTATAATTTTTATTCAAAAAATAAAAATGAACAAAAAACTAAAAAAGAACAAATGAATGATATGACACATTCAATATACAAACTTGATCTTAATGAATTTGTTAAATTAAGTGAAGAAAAACAAAAAGAAATTCTGTGTGAATGTGTAGAAAATTATAGGAAAGAAAATCAGAAGAATAATAAAGAAATGTTTTGTTGTAGTGTTTGTTATGAAGAATATACTTATAAGGAGACATTTATAAATGAATGTGGACATAGGTTTTGTATAAAATGTTGGAGGGAAAATATAATACAACAAATTCAAAGTGATTGGCATCAAGTTCATTGTATGGAACAAGGGTGTAATTGTGTAGTGAAAATAGAAGACATTATGACACATTGTTTAATTCAAGACATTTGTATGTTAAATATGTATTGTGAAAGACTCACGTTTAAAACATTTGAAGATAATATTTGTGAATGTCCAAAATGTCGATGTGAAATGATAACATTTGAGAAGGAATATAAAACTACATGTCCAAGATGTAAATATTTGTTTTGTAGAAAATGCGGAGAAAATTGGCATGAAGGAAAAAGTTGTGATGAATGGAAGAGAAATAAAGAACAAGAACAAGAAGATCTGAAATGGATTAATCAAAATACAAAAAAATGTCCAAGTTGTGGTGATAGAATCCAAAAGAATGGAGGGTGTAATCATATGACATGTAAATGTGGATATCAATTCTGTTGGTTATGTGGTGTTAAATATTCATCTGATCATTGGACGAATAATACAACAGGATGTAAACAATTCACATAACATTAACATACTTATTTTATGAATGATGTTTATTGGTTTAATGTTAAAATAACAATATGAAGTTGATTTAAATAAACATAGATAATATGAAGATATTTGACATTACTTATACTAATTGAATAGAAATGTTCAATTATATCATTTCAATATATAATATCATTTAATAACTATAATCATAAATTACAAATTATTAATTAAGTATACAATTGGTATATCAAATTGATATTACATCCATTTGAATTTGTTTTTAGAATAATTATTTATTGAATTAATTCAATGACAAAGATTAATTCAATACTTTAATTCTTTGTCATTCTATTTTTTTCATAAATTAAATAAAAGTACAATTCATCAAAGTGATATAAATTTTCTTTATTTATTATTCATTATTCTCTTTATTTTGTACATCTATTATATCATTATTTCTATATTTTATATTCAACAACAACTCAATTATTTATTTGTTATAATGACAACATAGTTATTTGGTGTAACTTTAACCATTTTTTTATAAATATTGGATATTGTTGAATTGACGTATCAAAACACGTTACTCATTATTCTATTCTTAATGTTTTATAAAGGCAACGAAAAAAGCAAATAATTGAAAAAGAAGAGAAAGGTAAGATATAAAAGAATAAAAAGACAGTAAGAAGAAGAATGAATAAAGAATAAAAAGAAAGTAGAAGATAAAAAGAATAAAACAAAAAGAATAAAACAAAAAGAGATGATAAAATATGAAAATAAAGAAGAAATAAATTGTAAATTTTTATTGTAAAAATTAGAAATATTCAATAAAAGTGTCTAATTTAATGATGTAAAATAATTGGTATTATTTTATTGATGAAAAATATTTTATTCTTTTTTATATTTATTATTTATATGTATAATTTCAACATGATGATTATTATATATTCAATCATATGTGTTATGTTATTATTATAACATATAATAAGTGATAAAATATAAATGAAAATGATATGAATATATGATATAGAATATAAAAACAAAAGAATAATAAGAATAAATGATAAATAAAAGGAGAAATAATAATCAATGATATAATAATAAAATCAAAGTATAAAAGATAAATTTAATATTAATATAAATCAAAAGAGAATAAATATAAAATGAAAATAGATATAAATGATAATAACATAAAAGATGAATAAGATGAATAAACAAATAATAAAATACAACTAAATAGAAAAGAATAACAATAAAAACATCTAAAGAATATAAATAAAAGAATAATATAATAAGAAGAATATAATAATATAGATAAACAGATGATATACATATTATTAACAGAGAAATAAATATATAAAAATACGATATAAATAAAATGATAATAAAAGAATATAAATAATAAAAATAAATATGATTCATCAAATAATCTATTTCATTATTATTTCATACAAAATGAATACAAATGAATATAAAATATAAACATAAATATTTATTGATTGTGTATTTATCATATTTTTTATTTATTTTTATTTAGGAGCAAAATATAATAAATGGAAAATTCTATTGATGCAAATTTTTTTGCATCTTTTTTCTTTTTTGTAAATTATTTA